GAACCCCAGGCTCTTGGTACCCCCAGGGCAACCCCTTCTGCTAAGTGTCCCAAAATGATTGCTAAATGCCTGGCTCACCTCTCTTTGACTCCATCTCTCAGTTTCCCCTGTTTGCTGCCAGCTCCCCCCAACTCTTCCTTCTGACTTTCTTCTCTTTGTCCCCTCTCCTCCTACCTCTGCTGCCAGGCAGACCCCCTCCTCTTCTTCCATACCCATCACTGCCTACCTGCTTGGCCCCTCCATTCCTGCAGCAGTGAGAAGCCTTAATTTCTGGTACTGTGTGAGCACTCTGGGGGTGTCCTCCTCCCCCTTCAGGGGCAGCTAGAGGATGAGGGGGGAGGGTATTTAGCACTGAGGCCTAGAGCTTCCCCCATATCCTGTCACCCCTAAAATTTAAATGCAAACACTTGAAGCAGCAACTACTGAACCTGGCCCGGACCCTGCGCTTTCTGGCTCCTCGTGCAAACCAAGGGCTGCTTCTGCCCCCACAGCCTGCTCCTGTGTTACCACTTCTGGCCTGGTCCCCTAACCACGCACTTTAACCTTGCTTATTTCTTTTAACTTCTTTTGGGAGAGGGAGCCTGTGGCCGTCCCTCCTTGGCTCTCTTCTCCCTGAACTTTGAGCCTTGTCATGAACTTTTAAGTAAGCATTTTATTCTTTAGGGGAAGAAACAAATCAATATCCTGCCCATTTCAAAACTACAGCCCTCCTATGTCCTCTGTGTTTCAGGCATGTGTTTGCATGTGAGTGAAGGTAGGGACCATGTTCTTCCTCCTGTATCCCCTAGTCCCAGAGTTCCTCATGTCTGTCTCCACCTTCCGTCTGTCTGAGAACCCACTGCCCCAGTCCCTCCTAATATGAAGCCAAAGATGGTGGGAAGGGCAGGGGCAGTGTAGGGACCGTGTTAGGGAAGCAGGGTTTCCTCCAATGGGGAAGGGGGAGCACTGGTCAGGGAGCACAGATGGACACTGAGGCTGAGCTCAGCCCTTGCCTTTTCAGCATGGGAGAGATACGGTTCCTGGAATGTACCCGAGAAGCCAAACTGGGCTGGTATGAGGAGGGGCAGTGTTCTCTTTAAATGTAGCATTGCATCTGGCCCTGGTCCCTTCCAATTCCCTGTCCCTCTGTCTCCTTGGTGAACCTCTGCACAGTTGGACCCAATCCCATAACCCAGTGTCCCTTCCTCACACGCAATACCTCAGCCAGGGGCCAAGACACAGAACTTGAATAGAGGCCCTGCCCCCTCCACCCTATAGTGCATCCTCGACCAGTTTGGCTGCCATCAGTATTGCCCCCTGAGAACTGAGAACTGGATGGGCTTCGTTTACACAGTACAGGGGTCTCTTCCTGGGTACCCCTTCACCTCTTTCCCCTACCCAAGCTTGCTTTACTCACATTTTTACCCATTTTCAGTTGTGTCCCTTGAATGTCTGGCCACCCTTGCCAAGGGTGAGCTGAGGAGAGAGGGGCCATCCCAGGAAGCCCTTCCTCCTGAGATACCCTGCACCATACCTCATGCTGGATCTTTCCTTTTCATGGTTCCTGTTTATCTGTCTGTCTTGCTGCCCCGCCCTTCAGATCCTAAACCGTTTCAAGGCTTCCAAACAACCATTATTGGTGAGAAGGATTGTGTAGCTTTTAGTTTTTATTTTTGTTTTCAAAGCCAAAGGGCCTTGCAATGCCCCTCTTGCCCACACCCTCACAGCCCTCCTTCCCTGTACCTTCCCTGTACGACAATCAGTGTGACCTCTCTAAGGGCTGCCGCCCCCGCCCCCACCCCTGCCCCACCAGTTCTGCAAAGCTTGCCCCTAACTTAAGTTCTCTCCGAAATCTTCCCATTTCATTTCCTTCCTCTCATCTTGGTGCTGGGAATTAGGTGGTGGTGGGGCATGGGGAGCAGGGAAATGGTTCCCCCAGAGATGACTTGGGGTATCAGTCGTGTTCTCCTTTATCAATGCTTGGTGATGACAGAGGAATCTGAGTATATGTCAGGAGTCCCATTGTTTTGTTTTGCTAGATGAGATTTCTGGTGGCTGTCTGCTCCCTGCTGTCCTGGGCACACTGTCAGCAGTGCTGGGAAGATGGCAGGGGGTCCTCTGTCCCTCCTCATGTGGCTGTGAGGAGGCCTGGAGGGCGAACAGCCTCCTCTCCTTATGCCAAAGGAAACCCCGCACCCCACCCTGGGCTGCCCAGCCCCTAGTGTTTTTGAAGCATTTTGACCATTCTCATGGCCACTGCATATTTATTTTAATGTTAAGATTTTTTTTTTTTTTTTTAAGAAACCTTTTTGACTTAAACGGGTGTGGAGAAGTAAAACAGGCAGAATGCCCGCCCCCCAAGTCTTAAGGGGGTTGGGTGGGGAGGGAACATGTCCTTCCCTCTCCCTTTCCTCTCCCCTCCCCTCTCCCCACCACAGCTCTAAAGCACTTGCTTCAAGTAATAAGCACTTTTGTGAAAAGGCCTATTTTAAGGGAGGACCCTGGGAACAGCCCTAGGTCCCAGCAAAGGAGACAGAGCGAGGGCTACATAGGAGACAGGGAAACAGACGTGTGAATCAGAGGGTGACTGAAGAGAGCCAGTTTTTAGTTTCTGATGGGGGGCCGTGTTTCTGATTGTGCGGTGGCTTTGGTAGGGATGTGTACTTCAGAAAAACAAATGGCACAAACTGTGGGTCCCAGGATGGACCGACAGACCCGGGTCACTGCCACTGTCCAACTGAGACTCTGAGACTGACGGGCTACCTCCCCACCCGTGCCCCCTGAGCCATAGGACTGCTGAAAACCACTGAATGTACAGCCCAGGTTGGGGTGGGAGTAGCCCCTGGGGGAGGGGGCTTCTCCTTTTGTTTGGTGCTGTGGGGGGGGGGGGAGACGTGTTCCTTGGGGTGGAGGGGCTGTGGAGGGCCGCCTCCCTCTCTGAGCCCAGCCACAGCCCCTCTTCCTTCCTCACCCCTGTCCGTTCTGACTGTAAGTCCAGCTCACCTTTGCCTTCACTATGTAACCAAAGGAAAACTCAACACTGTTTCCACCACTGTCTGCCCACCCAGCACCTTCTTCCTCCCTGGATCACAAGGGGAGAAGAGGCTGAGGGTGGGGGGTGGGGCCTGAGTGAATGCTTCTACAACTGTACCCCCAAAGCCCTCTCTGTGATCTTGGGAGGGGTCCTGAGAGGCGGGGTGGGGCCAGGCTGGCGGGCTGGGAGTACGCACTGTGTATCTTACGTACATGAGTGTTTCTTTGTTGAAATGACTCCGGTAGCTGTGCTCCAGCGGGGAGGCCCCTTCCTCCTTCCCACCCAGCCATTTCTCACCCTCTCCCCACACCCAATGTTTATTCCCTGCCTCCTCCCCTTCCCACCGCAAAGGAAAATAGCCTTACAGACCCTAGCCCAGAAACCCTACTCCTGGGGCAAGCCAGTATGGCCCCATCCCGCCGAGTTTGAACCCTTCTTTTTTGAGGAGGGGCAGGGAGCAGTGCAGTCTCTTCCCCTCTGGTGGCTCCAGCCCTCTGGGCAAGGACAGAGCTAAGAAATCTTTGAGGACCAAGCCCAGTGGTCTGGGAAGAGGGAGGTAGAGAAAGAAGGGTCTGACTTGGGGGACTCCCTCCTCCCAACCCAAACCCTATAGAGAAGCGACCAAATTCCCAGAGACAGGAGGGAGCTGGGGTCCGGGTCTGCTCTTTGAATTACTTGAAGGTACTGACTCTGAGGCTGCTGTTGCCCACACAGGTGTGAGGGGACACTGTCACTGCATTTGGGAGGGCAGAGGATGGCGGGTGAAAAGAGGATCCACCCTTGGCCCTCGCTCACTCCTGTTCGGCCCTTTCCCTGGGCCCTCCTCTCCCCACCCTCACTCTGGGTGCCCCTCCAGTTGCACTAAAGTAGCTGTTGTGCCAGTCTTACCCATGCCAGGGTGGGGCCTCTGCTTCCAGTCCTTCTTAACGCCTGTGCTCCCATCCTGGACAATCTTGTTCACTTGTATTCCTGGATAGCTCAGCTGTGTGTGTGTGTGTGTGTGTGTGTGTGTGTGTGTGTGTGTGTGTGT